CATGGTGGAAGACTATCTCAAAATCTTTATGGATGACTTTTCAGTTTTTGGAGACAAATTTTTACAATTTCCTCAACAATGTGGTAAAAGGTGTTAATACGATGTGAAGAATCTGACCGAGTCTTAAACTGAAAGAAATGCTACTTTATGGTAGATGAGGGAATCGTGCTCGACCATAAATATCATCTAAGGGAATCGAAGTGGATAGAGTTAAGGTGAATGTAATTGACATTGAGATTAAGGACATGAAATGATCGGAAAACCAAGTTGTTGATCACTTGTCAAGGTTGGAAGGAAGAAATGGATATGTTTTTTTACTGGAGATCCATGACGCATTCCTAGATGAGAAGGTGTTAGTTTCCACGACAAAACCATGGTATTTCGATTTAGTAAATTTTCTAGTTTGTATTATTTTACCTCACGGACTTACTCATAAAGGGAAAAAGAATTTCTAACATGATGCTAAGCATTATTATTGGGATAAGTCCCTTTTGTTTAATCAATGTGCAGATCATGTCTCAAGATGATGTGTTCCAGAGGAGGATCAACAAAGTATGCTTCGTAAATTTCATTCTTCACCTTATGGAGGTCACTTTAGAGGACAACCAATGTCTTGCAATTCGGTCTATATTGGTCCACCCTGAATAAAGTTACCCAAGAATTCTACAAATGATGTGATTGTTGCCAATGCACGGACAATATTTCAAGATGGCATGAGATGCCATTGTAGAATATTCTTTAAGTCGAGTTATTCGATGTATAGGGTATAGATTTAATGGGACATTTTCCATCCATATTTGGCAATTTATACATCTTACTCGTCTTCAACTACGTATCTAAATAGTTTGAGACAGTTGCAACTCCCAAAAATGATTCCAATATCGTACTTAAATTATTGTAGAAAAATATATTCACAAGGTTTGGAATACCAAGGGCGATCATTAGTGATGAAGGAAAGCATTTTGACAACAAATTCATTACCAAGATGTTACAATGCTTTGGAATAACACACAAAATAGCCATGGCATATCACCTACAGGCAAACGAACAGGCTAAAATTTCCAACCGAGAATTAAATTTCATCCTTGAGAAAGTTGTCAATCCATCTCGAAGGGATTGGTCTCAAAGAATTGATGATGCACTTTGGGCATACCACACAACATTTAATACACCCCTAGTCATGTCTCTTTATAGACTCGTCTATGGCAAGGCTTGCCACCTTCTAGTGGAAATCTAGTATAAGGCATTATGGGCTATCAAGACTATGAACATGGATTGGGAGAGTGCAAGGAAAAATCGTTTATTGAACCTTAATGAGATAGATGAATTATGTGCCTTACCTTATGACAATGCAAGGATTTATAAACAGAAAACAAAGTGTTCGTATGATTGAAAGATATTGGCGTGACAATTTTTGTCAAGGAAATTGCTATTCATTTTCAATTATCAGTTATAACTCTTCTCGAGAAAACTAAAATCGATATGGTCTAGACCATTCGAGGTAGTAAAACCTTTCTACCATGGTGTTTTAATCATCAAGTCCACCACGGATAGACATGAGTTTAAAGTTAATGGACAACGATTAAAGCACTATGTTGGCACCCACGTTAAGCGTGACAAGGAAGTTTATCCTCGAAGAAGTATGAATATGCTCTCCTCATATTTTTTTTCTTTTGGACTTTTTCTTTTCTTATTTATTCATATTTTTATTTTTAAGTTTTATTTGCATTTTTCTTTATTTTAGCCTTTATATGTTTCATTTCGTGTTTCTCTTTATTTAATATTTATCTTTTTGTTTTGCTTGAATTTTAGGATACAAGAACCCATGACCACGAAATCAAAAAGCATGATTCACTCGAGCAATGAGGTTAAGGATAGAGGATTATGAGCGCACCACCAGTAAAATGCTCTCAACCACCGCAGGTAGTAAACAAAATCAAATAAGTGACATAAAGGAAAATCATCATTCAAGGTGGCGACCTTTCTGACTAACCCATTCATTTGTAGCATTCATTTACTTTTCATGACATTTAGACAGATAAACAGTTGTTGAGCCTTTGTACTACCTATGATGAGATAGTTACCGATATCATTTTAATTCCGAGAATCTTAGGACTTAGAGATAATTTAAGATTGCCTTAATGATTCTTGTGATGCTATAACTATTTATCGAATGTCGTGTTTGGTTAACTTGTGGTTATTTTGGAGAATACTTAATTATCTTGCATGTTTTTTGTTTAAGTTATATATAAATTGCAAGAGGTGTCCAACTGGCTTTAGTTGAATAAATTGCCACAACAACTTTTTAGCTCTAGAACAGTCCATTGCTAAAGCAAATTTGTATCCTTAGTGAATACTAAGTAGGAAAGATAGTCGTGAATAGAATGAGTGAATGAAAGTCTTCACGAGATGACTCTACCTAAAAGACTAGGGGATTCGTTGTTGACAACATCTTATTTCTCAAGTACTTGCATGTAGTTGTGATAAGTTGAAGCTCTAGTTAAGTTAATTAATTACAGGGACATCTTTTGCCTTATTAATTAATATGATAATTTTGTTATTCTCTACAAATACCCATGGTGATGAACCTTCTCGACTAAGAGCACAAACTTACATGAGCATCATATGTTGAATTGAGTTAATTTCTTGTTGTCTTGAGGTTTAAAGATGATTGGCAGAAAATTGCTAAGGTTGTGAGGTAACATGTGCAAAGCAAACGTAAGAGTGGTATTGTCTATTCTCTATGAAAAAATAGATCTCATGCATTGCTTGAGGACAAGCAATAGCTTGAGTTAGGGGGTGTGTTAAACGTATAAAAGTACTATATTTTCTATCCTTTTACCCATAATTATTGCAAGATTTAAGTTCGGTCTAGTTACATTATTAGTCATTCATGCATAATTTCATAGTTTCTTTCGTCATTAAGTTTGGTATTGCATTATGGTTGATTTTATGGAAAGGATAATGTTGGTGTGTACTAATTTCAGGATAATGGTGAATGGATAAGCACACCTCATCTAAGTTGAACTCCATAAAATAAGGGATAAAGCCTAGAAGTTTAAATTTCCAGGAAAAAATTAAAGACGAGAATAAGTCTAGTTTAAAGATAAATATAAAGATAAAAGAGAATTAATTACTCTATTATTCCAACTAAAATTCTTCTTCAACAAGAATTAATTGGGTCGACTCATCTCCTATAAATAGGGAATCAAGACGCAAAGATGATGCATGTTTTAAGACGGAGAGAGATTCTTGCTAGCCTTTTTAGTTTTCTTTATTTTCTTTGTTTTCAATTTATGTTTATAATTTTCTTCATTATATTCTGCCTAGCCTTGAACTAAATCTATATGACTAGGTTTGTTGTGATTTTGTGGTTGTGAAAATGCTTGGATTTGTTTAAGTTATTGTTTGTCTTTGTAATTCAAAGTTTGATCATTCTTGGTTCTTTAATTGATTTCGAGTGAATTGGGAGAGGATCTCGATATTTTATCCATTTATCTAATATCGGGATAGTTAGATTCAACAAACGAATGAGCATGGTCTTCATTTGAACAAATTGTGATGGCTAAACCATCTTAGGGATAAGATTCATATTTCAACAGCTAAAAGGAGTACAAGATCAGTTGTCCACCCATGGTTAACATAGGGATGTATCACCAAGGCATGCATAATTTACTAGTCCTTTGAAGTTAGGAATAACAAGAAGGAATTGAAGAACACTTTGTCGAGCTTTGAAGGAGGAAACTCAGTTTCTACGATAATTGAATTATTTTCAGTTGCCAAGGTAATCGAGTTGCCTCGACAATCGACTACTCAGACTTTCCAGACAGTTGTCACACCACTAATCATTACAACCCATCATATTCTCTTATTTAATCTTAGTCAACTTTTATTTACTTGCTTATTTATTTTATTTGTTTTTTCATACTCCTTCTATTACCAATTTATTCCTTTTTATAATGCGAGAAGTTAAAATATAGAGTTACACCAATCCCTGTGGAGAAAATATCTTTTCTATACTATAACTTGCAACGTGTATACTTGCACCAATTACAAAGCAATTATATCATGCAAAGTAACATTTAAATCTAAATATTTATTATTAATGTTTACCAACATTGAGCTTATTTTATAAATGGATTCAAAGGTTTCATTTTCATGGGAAGCTTTCAGCGTCTTTGCTCGCTAAAATATATATACATCAAATGAGGTTTGATGAATACAAATTTGATGAACTCAACTCATCCATGATGATATCTTTTCTATACTATAACTTGCGACGTGTACACTTGCACCAATTATGAAGCACGTACATCACGCAACAAGTTTTTGGCACCGTTGCTGAGGATTGGCAATAGCGACTTTGATTTTTATTTCTTGCACATTAATTATTAGTATTACTTTTATTATTATTATTATTATTTTCCTTTCTTTTTGGAGTAAATGATCTTATAATTTATGGTTTCACATCTGTGTATGACCAGGTCGAGACCAACATCACCAAAATATCCATTTAAACTGAAATCGAGGGAGATTTTCATAGGAAAATGAGAATGCAACGAGAAGTAATAGGAGACTAACTCGTTAATCCAATTGGTGACCCTTATGTAATTGGCAACCAAAATAGTGGTAAGGAACAGGCCCATTCAAAACTAGTTAGAGTAAGATCTCAATGGTCTTAATCCAGGAGTTGTCACACCTAAAATAGAAGCTGCCTACTTCGAATTAACACCAATAATGTTCAACATGATCAACATAATTGGTAAATTTTGCAGATTGGCAATAGAAGATGCCAGAAAACATTTCAAATTATTCCTGGAAATTTGCAATTCATTCACGCAATGAGTCCATGAGGATGTCCTAAGGCTGCAATTATTCCCCTATTTACTGAGGATACCTAAAAATCGTGGTGGAATAGTATCCCATCTGGATCTTTAGAATCTTAGATGGATTTATGTCGTGATTTCCTTGAATAATTTAGTTCTATAAATATGAATGATAAATTGTGTAATGGTATTACTTCTTTTCAACAGGAAAATGATGAATCTATGTATGAGGCTTGAGAGCAATATAGGGAGATTTTACGCTAATGTCCCATGCATAGTTTGCCAGTATGAACGTAAGTGACAATGTTCTATAACTTAGTGAATACATCAATTAAGATTACAAGTCTCCGGAGAAAGCAATGGAGATTCTAATCATCTCGCCAAGAATGATTATAAGTTCCCAAATACAAGAATAGGAGGTGTCACACATAATACCACGATAAACGAGCTTGATTCAACGGATACTATCTCCACACAGTTGGCTACCTTAACCAAATTGGTTAAGAAAATGTAACGACCAAACAATACAGGGGAGATCAAGTACTAAATTCCTTTTGTGAGTTAAGTAACAATAACCATGGTTCTTTTGAGTGTCCACAGAACTCGAAATCTAGCTTTTATATTGGAAGTTACAACCATAACAATAATGTGATATCCAACACTTATACACCAGCCTGGAGGAAGCACTCTAATTTATCATGGAGCAACCCGAACAATGCCCTAAATCAGAATAAACAAAATTCACAAGCATCATTATTCCAGTAGAACGTGCCAATGTAACATATGTCGCATCAACAATCAACACGATCTAGTTCTTTGGAAAATGCTCTCAAATCTTTTATGCTAAAACTGAATCTTACATGGTTGAGAATAGTGTTTTCATGAAAATGACTGACTCTTTCATTAACAGGATTGAGATGAGACTGCAAACTCAAGAGGAAGCTTTGGAATCCTTGGAGACATAGGTCAGACAACTTGCCCAGAATTTGAACACATGACAACTAGGCAGTTTAACCGGTGATAATAAGGTCGCAAAGGAAGTATTCTATGAGAAGTATAAGGTAATAACCACTCGGAGTGGATGAAAGCTTACTGAAAATGATGCACAACCAACAGGGAAAACTCAATAAGAACAAATCCAAAAATATACAACCAGCAGCAAGGCCTCAGTTGATATTGATGAACCAATTGTTACCCAGAACAGTCCACATACCTCAGTAAATCCAGATTCCATTGTAGGTCCATCAATCAAATTCCAAATACATGTGAAGGATGAGGAGTTCAAAATTACACCATCATTCCCTCAAATGTTGAAAAGGAAGAAACAAGAATATTAGTTCAATAAATTCTTGGACATCTTGAAGCAAGTCCACGTCAACTTGTCGTTTGTTGAGGTGATTGAGAAAATATCAAATTAAGCTAAGTTCCTTAAAGGTATTGTCTCTAAGAGAACAAGGATATGAAAATTAGAAACAATTGTTGTGACAGAGAGATGTATGGCCATGTTGCATAACCAAATGCCACCTAAACTGAAGGATCCCGACAATTTCACAATACCTTGTGTGATTGGTAAACACTACGTCGGGAAGACATTATGCGATCTTGGAGAAAGCATAAATCTTATGCCTAAATTATTTTTCCAAAGATTGTATATAATAGAGGCAAGACCTAAGACAGTTATGTTATAACTCGCAAACAGATCATATGTACATCTAGAGGAGAAAATTGAAGATATACTAGTAAGAGTTGATAAATTTATTTTTCTCTCTCGCTTTATTGTTTTGGATTGTGAAGTAGATGAATTCACACCTATTATCCTTGGAAGAACATTATTAGAACCAGGGAGAACCCTTATTGATGTTGAGACAGGAGAACTCACCATGCGAGTGAATGACCAACAAGTAACATTGAATGTTTTTCAAACCTTAAAGCATATTGTTGATCCGTAAGAGTACCAAATCATTCAAGCCACCTATGAATTCAATTTCCAAGAAGAAGATAATTGCCTTAACAATTTTGACGCCAAACTAGAGGAAATTGAAGAACCAAATAATGAAGAGCAAGAAGAAGCAAATTGGATAGTAAGTCAACCAGGTAAATATTTTGAACTATTGGACTACTCAGGTTGGAAAGTTAAATTAGAAAATCTTCTATTGAGCAACTGTCTATTCTTAAATTGAAATATGCTTATTTCAAAGCCAATAACACACTGCCTATAAATATTTTTTCTAAGTTGCAGTCGGAACAGGAAAAGAGGTTGATTGATACGTTGGCTCAGTACAAAAAGGTCATAGGGTGGTTAATTTTCAACTTAAAGGGAATTAATCTAGCGGTATGCATGCACAAAATCTTATTGGAGGATAATGTTAAACCTTCAACTTAAGTACAAATGAGACTTAACCCAGTCATGAAAGAGGTAGTGATGAAAGAATTATCAAGTGGCTTGACACCAGTATCATATATCCTATCTCCGATATTACTTGGGTAAATTTGGTACAAAGTTTACCGGAAAAAGGAGGTATAATTGTGGTAAGTAATGAAAATAATGAACTTATTCCACCTAGGACTGTTACTGGATGGAGGGTTTGTAAGGATTATCGTAAGTTAAATAAAGCTACCAAGAAGCATCATTATTCTTTACCCTTTATTGACTAAATGCTTGATCGACTTACAGGTAAACCCTTTTATTATTTTCTTAATGGTTACTTAGGTTATAATCAAATTGCCATAGTACTAGACGATTAGGATAAGACCACCTTCACTTGCCCATATGGTACATATGCATTCTAAAAGATGTCTTTTGGACTCTGTAATGCCAAAGCAACCTTCCAAAAATGTATGATGGCGATATTTTCTGACATGGTGGAAGACTATCTTGAAATCTTCATGAACAACTTTTCAGTTTTAGGAGACACTTTTGACAATTGCCTCAGTAATTTGGAAAAGGTGTTAATACGATGTGAAGAATCCAACCTAATCTTAAACTGAATGAAATGTTACTTTATACTAGATGAGGGATTTGTGCTAGGCCACAAAATATCATCTACGGGAATCGAAGTGGATAGAACTAAGGTGGATGTAATTGAAATATTATCGTCACCTACTTCAGTCAAAGGAATCCAAAGTTTTTGCAGACATACAGGTTTTATAGAAAGTTTATTCCTAATTTTTCTAAGATCTCTAAACCCTTGTGTAATTTTCTTGAACATGATAAAGCCTTTAATTTTGATGAATCACATGTCTCGGCCTTTGAAACTTTGATGAAACAACTTGCCACGATAACCATTGTCGTTCCACCTGTTTGGTCACTACCTTTTGAACTCATGTGTGATGCTAGCAATTTTGCGGTAAGAGCATTCATAGGTAAACGAAAAGGTAAAATTTTTCATGTGATATATTACTCTAGTAAACCCTTAATGATGCTCAAATAAATAACACTACAGCAAAAAATGAACTACTAGCATTAGTTTTTGCCTTTGAAAATTTATATTCCTATTTGATTAGTACAAAGGTAATTGTCCAAACTGGCCATTCAACAATTAAGAACTTATTTGCTAAGAAAGATGCCAAACCTTGTTTAATTCGTTGGATATTAATTTTGCAAGAATTTTACATTGAGATTAAGAACTGTAAAGGATCAAAAAACCAAGTTGTTGATCACTTGTCAAAGATAGAAGGAAGCAATGGAGAGGATGATTCACTGGAGATCCATGACGCATTCTCAGATGAGCAGGTGTTATTTGTCACGACAATACCATGGTATTTTGATTTAGTAAATTTTCTAGTTTGTGGTATTTTACCTCACGAACTTACTTATCAAGGGAAGAAGTGTTTCCCACATGATGTTGAGCATTATTATTAGGACGAGCCCCTTTTGTTTAAATAATGTGCATATCAGGTTATAAGACGATATGTTCCAGAGGTGGAGCATAAAACTGTGCTTTGATAATGCCATTCTTCACTTTATAGAGGTCACTTTAGAGATATACTATAACCAAAGTCTTACAATCTGGTCTATATTGGCCTACTTTATATAAATCTGGTCTATAGACGGTATGAGATGCCATTGCAAAATATCCTTGAAGTCGAGTTATTCGATATGTGGGTATAGATTTCATGGGACCTTTCCGATCCCAATTTGGAAATTTGTACATCTTACTCACCGCCGACTACGTATCTAAATAGGTTGAGGCAGTTGCAGTTCCCATAAATGATTTCAAGACCGTGTAGAAATTCTTGCATAAAAATATATTAACATGGTTTAGAATGCCAAGGGCGATCATCAATGATGATGGAAAGCATTTGACAATAAACTGATTTCCAAGATGTTACAACGCTTTGGAGTAACACACAAAATTTCTTGGCATATCACCCAGAGACAAACGGACAGTCTAAAATTCTCAACTGAGAATTGAAGATCATCCTTGAGAAGGTTGTCAATCTATCTCAAAAGGATTGGTCTCTAAGAATTAATGATGCACTTTGGGCTTACTGCACAACATTTAAGACACCCTAGGCATGTCTCCTTATAGACTCATCTATGGCAAAGCTTGCCACCTTTCGATGGAAATCGATCATAAGGTACTTTGGTATATCAAGACTGTGAACATGGATTGGGAGAGTGCATTGCAAAAGCGTTTATTGAACCTCAACGAGATAGATGAATTCTATACCTTAGCTTATGAAAATGCAAGGATTTATAAAGAGAAAACAAAGCATTGGCATGATGGGAAGATACTGCCGTGATAATTTTTGCCGGGGCAATTAGTACTCCTTTTCAATCCTCGGTTAAAACACTTCCCGGGAAAACTGAAATCGAGATGGTCTGGACCATTTGAGGTAGTAAAAACCTTTCTCCCATGGTGCTATAATCATCAAGTACACCACTGATAGATATGAGTATAAAGTTAATGGACGATTAAAGCACTATGTCGACACCCACATTGAGCACGACAAGGAAGTGGTTACCCTCGAACAAGCATGAATATGCTCTCCTTAGATAGTTTTATTTGCTTTTGGACTTTTTCTTTTCTTATTTATTCACATTTTTATTTTTAAGTTTGATTTGCATTTTTCTTTATTTTAGCCATTATATTTTCATTTTGTGTTTCTCTTTATTTAATATTTATTTTTTCATTTTGCTTGAATTTTAGGATACAAGAACCCATGACCACGAAATCAAAAAGCATGATTCACCTGATAAATAAGGTTAAGGGAAGAGGATTCCGAGTGCACCACCAACAACACGCTCCCAACCACCGCATGCAGCAAACAAAATAAA